CCCTATTTTATATATAGTAGTGTGCATATATCAATCCACATCTCCCAATTTTCCCTCTCACTCTCTCCCCTCTAGTAACCATAAGTTTGTTTTCTATATCTATGACTCTGTTTCTGTTTTGTAAATAAGTTCCTTTATACCCTTTTTTTAAATTGCACATTATACCACATCATCTTTATCCATTGATCTGTTGAAGGCCTTAGATTGCTTCCATGTCTTGGCTATTGTAAATAGTGCTGCAATGAACATTGGGGTATATATATCTTTTTTTCTTTAAAAAATTTATTAAAGTATAGCTGATTTACAGTATTGCATTAGTTTCAGGAATACAGCACGGTAATTCCATTATACCTGTATATATCTCTATTCTGTTTAGGAATCTTTCCCCTTATATGTTATTAAAAAGTGTTGAATATAGTTCCATGTGCTATACAGTAGGCCCTTACTGATTATCTGTTTTATATATAGCAGTATATACCTGTTAATCCCAAGCTCCTAATTTATCCCTTCCCACCTTTCCCCTTTGGTAACCATAAATGTGTTTTCTATATCTGTGGGTCTATTTCTGTTTTATAAATAAGTTCACTTGTATCTTTCTCTTTTTTTTAAGATTCCACATATAAGTGATATCATATTTATCTTTCTCTGTCTGACTTACTTCAGTTTGTATGATATTTCCAGGTGCATCCATTTGCTGCAAATGGCATTCTTTCTTTCTTTTTTATGGCTGAGTAATACTCCTTTGTGTGTGTGTGTGTGTGTGTACATATGCTACATTTTCTTTATCCATTCCTCTGTCAATGAACGTTTAGGTTGCTTCCATGTCTTAGCTATTGTAAATAGTCCTTTAATGAACATTGGGGTGCATATATCTTTTCAAATATTAATTTTTTCTGGATACATGACCAGGAGTGGGATTACAGGATCATATGGTAGTTCTATATTTAGTTTTAAAAGTAGCCTCCATACTGTTCTCCATAGTGGTTCTACCAATTTGTATTCCCACCAACAGGGTATGGGAGGGTTACATTTTCTCTACATCCTCTCCAGCATTTATTGTTTGTAGACATTTTGGTGATGTCCATTCTGACTCGTGTGAGGTGATATCTCATTGTATTTTTTATTTTCATTTCTCTAATAGTGATGTTGAGCATTTTTTCATGTGCCTGTTGGCCATCTATATGTCTTCTTTGGAGAAATGTCTATTTAGATCTTCTGCCCACTTTTTGATTGGGTTTTTCTATTTTTTTGCTATTGAGTTGGATGAACTGTTTGTATATTTTGGAGATTAATTGCTTGTCAGTTGCTTTGTTTTGAAAATATTTTCCCCCGTTCTGTATTTTTCTAAAGTTTCTTTTTGTTTTCCATCTCTATCTAAATAGTAATCAGCCTGGCCTTCCTCTGCACTCAAGTCCTGATTTTCTTTTCTGTGCAGATGACTAGCTTAACTCCTTTTAACTCTCTTAGTGGAAAAAACACTGAACTAAGTAATAATGAAATGGAGAAAGCTTGAGCTTTGGTGCTAGGTGGACCTTGATTACAGTACTGATTCTACTAGCTGTTTTTCCTTAGACAAGTTACTTTACCTCCTGAGCCTACATTTCTTTTTCTGTAACTTGGGGAAAATCCTCAAAAAAATCCTCAAAATACACCTACCTGGTGGTATATTTTGAGGATTAAATGAGAAAAAGCTTGTGAAATTCTTGGTGGTTTAAAAAAAAATTTTTTTTTAAGCTATTAATATTCCCCTTGCTTGCTGTAGAGGATCTTCAGCTCTTAGTGCACATAAGAATTTCTGGGAAGCTTGGTGAAATTTCCAGGCCTCACTCCAAGAGTGAGTAGTAGGTCAAGGCTGAGACCCAGGAATCTGAGTTTTAAACAAAGTCCTTGGGTAATTTGGAAGCAGATGATCAACTTTTAGAGATGCACTATCCTTGATTCCATGTCTAGCTTTGCTAGTAAATAACTTAGAGCTGTGGGCACATAATTTCCATTTTCTGGTCCTTGTGTTTCTTCAAATATAAAATGAACTTTATGGTCTCTATTGCCTGTAAAATTTAAAAAATGTTGATCTTATAATGCTAAATTTTTGAACTGGTGATCTGTTGCCACTTCTTGGCAGAAGTTCAATAGAGGTACTTTAGGAACTTGGATTATTCTTCTTTTTATGAAGACTGGTGAAACTAGCTTAAGCAAAAGTAATTTAAAGATACAGGGATAGCTCGTGAAACCTTAAGCCAGCATGCAGTTAGGCCTCAGGAATCAGGGACTAGATAGAGCACATTAGGAAAATCAACAAGTTCTTGCTGTCTCTGTCTTTTTTTCTTTACAAATTGGCCTCAATCCCTTGGCTTTTTCTGCCTTCAAGGCTGCTTGATAGAAAATGGACATGGACAACATCTCCTGAGTTTACATTGCTTTCATTTTAGAAAGCAGCCAGACTGAGGCTGGAATATCTTAATTCCAATTCCAAATTGCCAGGAAAGAAAATGTGATTGGTCCATATCGGGTAGAAGGCCACCAGCTTTCGCTATAGCAGGGGCATAGTGTAAGGATGGTCCTGTGAGCCCTGCCGCTATTTCTCCATGATTGGAGGTTGGTAGAGGTAGTCTGAGTTAGGTATTCATAACATTTACAAAAGCATTTCACTAATTGTAGGATCACAATGTAATATTTTGCATAGGACTCTTATAATTGATTCTTTTTTAAGAGTTTTTTTCAGTACTAATTTAATTTTAATTTTATTATTTTATGTTGGAATATAGTTGATTAATAATGTTGTATTTGTTTTGGGTGTGTAGCAAAGTGATTCAGTTATACATATACATGTGTGTATGGTTTTTCAAATTCTTTTCCTGTTTAGGGAATTACAGAGTATTCTGTGCTGTACAGTATGTCCTTATTGGTTATCTATTTTGAACGTAGCTGTGTGTACATGTTAATTCCAAATTCTCAATCTATCCCTCTCCCTCCCCCTTCTCCTCTGATAACCATAAGTTCATTGTCTGAGAGCCTGTTTCTGTTTTGTAAATAAGTTTGTTTATGTCATATTTTTAGATTCTGCATATAAGAGATACCACATGAAATTTTGTCTTTTCTGTCTGATTTCATTTAGTATGATACCTCCAGGTCCATCCATGTTGCTGCAAATGGCACTATTTCATTCTTTTTAGTTGCTGAGTAATATTCCATTGTATTTATGTACCACATCTTTATCCATTCATCTGTCAATGGATATTTAGGTTACTTCCATGTCTTGGCTATTGTAAATGGCACTGAAATGAACATTAGGGTGCATGTATCCTTTCGAACCATGGTTTTCTCAGGTTCGAGAAAAAATCCCAGGAATGGAATTGTTGGATCATATGGTAGCTGTATTTTTAGTTTCTTGAGGAACCTCCGTACTGTTCTGTATAGTGACTGTACCATTTCTACCAACAGTACAGGAGAGTTCCCTTCTTTCTACACCTTCTCCAGTATTTATCTGACTGGTGTGAGGTGATATATATATATATATATATTTTTTTTTTTTTTTTTTAATTTGTTTGTTTTTGACTGTGCTGGGTCTTTGTTGCTGCACAGGTTTTCTAGTTGCAGTAGGCAGGGTCTACTCTAGTTGCAGTGCAAGTGGCTTCACTTGTTGTGGAACATGGGTTCTAGGGCACTTGGGCTTCAGTAGTTGCAGCACGTGGACTCAGTAGTTGCAACTCCCAGACCTCAGAACACAGGCTCAGTAGTTGTAGAACAGCTTTTAGTTGCTCCACGGCATATGGGATCTTCCTGGATCAGGGTTCAAACCCATATCTCCTGCATTGGTGGGCAGATTCTTTACCATTGAACCACCAGGGAAGCCTGATATCGTGTAGCTTTGATTTACATTTCTCTAATAAGTAGCAATGTTGAGCATCTTTTCCTGTGCTTTTTGGCCATCTGTATGTCTTTGGAGAAATATCTGTCTAGATCTGCCCCCCCCCCTTTTTTTTTAATTGAGCTGCGTGAGCTGTTGTAAATCTTGGGGATTAATCACTTAGTCATTGCATCGTTGGCAAATATTTTCTCCCATTTCGTAGGTTGTCTTCTTCGTCTTCTTTTTTTTTTTAATGATGTCCTTTGCTGTTTAAAAGCTTTTCAATTTAACTTGGTCCCATTTGTTTATTTCCATTATTCTAGGAGACTGATTGAAAAAGTAATTCTATAATTTATGTCAAGTGTTCTGCCTATATTTTCCTCTAAGAGTTTTATAAGTGCTGGGAAAGCTGGACAGCTACATGTAAAAAAAAATTAAATTAGAACATTCTTTAACACCAAACACAAAACTAAACTCAAAATGGATTAATTAAACCTAAATATAATTGATTCTTGTGGAAAAAAGTAGTAGAGACAGACTAAAAGAAAAAGTGGGCTTTTGTTTTTATTCTTAGTCAGGTACCAGAGTGGTAGAGCCTTCTATAGTCATTTCCACTAGACTGGGTTGTTTAATCAAGAGTGGGTTTTTAAATTGCCTTTGGATATAGTTCTTTTCTTTTAAAATTATATAGTTTTAAAGTGTAAAATATTTGTCATCCTTGTTTTATACATTTGAACTTGACTTTTTCAAATGAAGAGAAAATTATGTGAGACTGTGAAGGGCTTTGGCAAGAGTACAAGTTTTTGAATCAGACAGTCTGGCATTTTAGTTTTATCTCTGTCATTTAGTGACTGTATGATTATTTGACCTCTCTGCAAAATAAGCATTATAATCTTTTTATCATGGGTTACTTGAGAATCAAATGACATAACATATGTACAACTCTCATACTGTTTCCTAGATAGTAGGTGCTCAATAAATCATGGCTATATCATTGTTTTTTGAAGGTAAAGGCATAAAGTGTTTTTTAGATCTGAAAATCAGTAACTAGAATATAAGGGAGGCAATACTTTTACATTAATAGTTTACTGTATGCATGTGTTTAATTTTTATTAATGGTTTTAATGAAATGTTATTTTGATCTCTTGTTTAGTGTCAAGCCAGAAGAGAAGTAAAACTCAACAAAAACTTATTATGTATGGAATTCATTCTTAAAAGAAGAAAAAAGTGATTATTGAAGACTATGGATCGGAGCAAACGGAATTCATTTGCAGGATTTCCTCCACATGTGGAGCGTCTTGAGGATTTTGAAGGAGGTGGTGGAGGGGATGGGAACATGACCCAAGTGGGAAGAATTTGGCCCTCCTCATATCGAGCTCTTATAAGTGCCTTTTCCAGACTGACACGTTTAGATGACTTCACCTGTGAAAAAATAGGGTCTGGCTTCTTCTCTGAAGTGTTCAAGGTGAGTGATGCCATGGTTTTTCTCATATTGTTTTGTTGAAGGTCAGTTTCACTGCAGAGTTCACAGCTGTGTTTCATTAGGATGTAGGCTTTGCCTTGTCAGGATGCTGTGGATCTTGAGCAGTATTGTAAACTCCTCTTGAGCTATCTGTTAACTTGTAAGATATTTGATTTATTTTGATTATAAAAATAATCCATGCTGATCAAAAATTAAAATAACATAGGAGCTTCTTCTACTCTAGAATTTTTCATCATCCAAAATGGAAACTTTGTACACATTTAAAAAAAAAACTCCCTCTACTACCCTTCAGTTCAGTTCAGTTCAGTGGCTCAGTCGTGTCAGACTTTTTGCAACCCTATGAATTGCAACGTCAGGCGTCCCTGTCCATCACCAACTCCCGGAGTTTACTCAAACTCATGCCCATCAAGTTGGTGATGCCATCCAGCCATCTCATCCTCTGTCGTCCCCTTCTCCTCCTGCCCCCAATCCCTCCCAGCATCAGGGTCTTTTCCAATGAGTCAGCTCTTCCCTTAGCCCATGTTAGTATCTGTTCTACTTTATGTCTCTATGAATATGTCTATCCTAGGAACCTCATATAATGGAACTGTAATATTTGTCCTTTTGTGCCTGGAATTCCCTTGTCATCCAGTGGTTAGGACCTGGTGCTGTCACTGCTGGGCCTGTGTTTTATCTGTGGTTGGGGAACTGAGAACCCAGCAGCCCTGTGGCGTGGCCAAAAAAAAAATTTTTTTTTTTTCATTCAATATTTATTTATTTATTTGGCTGTATCAGGTTTTAGTCACTTCATTCAGGATCTTTCTTCGAGGTGCATAGACTCTCTAGTTGTGTGGTGTGGGCTCCAGAGCTTGTTGGTTCATTAGTTGAGGAGAACATTGCTTTACATTGTGTGGGATCTTTTCTTTCTTAAGTAATTTTTGTTAATTTTATTTTCTTAGGATATAATTAATCTTACTTAAAATTTCAGATATGTAGGCATAAATACTGTATGTAATTGATGTGGCACAGATTTTTTTGTTTCCGCAGTAGCTGTATTTTCCTTCTTCCATATTAATAGATCTTTTAGTTGGACACACTGATGCCATTTCCTAGCTTTGCTTATAGCTAGGTTTAACTATATGAGTAGTTCTGTCCAATAGGGTGTGAGCAGAATTGTCATATGGGAGCTTTTGGAAATCTTCCTTTGCCACTTCTTATATCCATTTTTCCTTCATATTTGCTGTTATACATTTTTGATCATAGTGTGACCCTACAAATGGAGGCCATCTGTGGCAGAGCAACAGGACAGAGCCTGCATCTTCCAGGCCTACAGGGAAGAGAGCTGCCTGGTTCTGTACTGTCTCCTAGAGTCTCTTTGTTAGAAAAAAATTCTTAAGACTTTTAAAATTTGGTCCTCTGTTTGCAGCCAAACCTAAGTGTAATTAGTATAATTTGTACCATATCAGTATCTGCCTCCTTCCTCTAATATGGTCTATTTGTGTCTTCTATTTTTAAAATAAAGCAACACAAATTTATTTTAGGTTTCTTCTCAAAGGATTTGCTTAGGAAAAAAAAAGTTGAGCTCGTTGGGAATTCCGTGGAGATCCAATGGTTAGGATTCGATGCTTTCACTACCAAGGTCTGGGTTCAACCTCTGGTCGGGGAACTAAGATACCATAAGCCACATGATGTGGCCAAAAGAGGGAAAAAAAAAAAAAAGAGCTATCCTTTATTGATGAACTGAAGGCTTAAGAAATATAGGATTCTGGGACCTGTGGGGATAGCTATGAAGTCTCTTTGGTCCTGCCTTTGCCCTTGTACCTGTCTCAGGGAGGTTTGTCTCTGTTTCCACACCTGTTGATAACTCCACCCTGGGCAGAACCTGGCAGTCAGATTATTACCTTTGATTCTGCTGATTATCTTCTGTTTGTGTTATGGTTCACTATTTTCTACTTATTTCTATATTACTTTCTTATTAGATCTAGTGATGTTTTGTTCTTTTTGTAGCTTTTTGAATTTTATTCTTATCTCGATTTTTCCCAGTATGTATTATTTTCTCGTATATACACTTAAGCTTTAAAGTTTCCTCTAGACTTGGCCATATCACAGGTTTTCAGTGTGCTCTCATCATTTCTAAATGTAGTTTGGTTTGATTTCGTTTTGATACGAGAATTATTTAAATGAAATTTTAAAATTTCTACATGGTGAATTTTCTTTTGGGTAATTATTTGATATTTAATTTCTAATTTTAGTGCATCATGATCACAGAGCATGGCTTATAAGAAGTCTGTCTTTGGAATATAATTTATTCTTAAAAATGTTTATTTACTTGGCTGTGTCGGCTCTTTCTTTTTAATTATTTCGTGTATTTATTTTTTTGGTTGCTCTGGCTCTGTTGCTGCCTGTGGGCTTTTTCTAGTTGTGACGAGCAGGAGCTACTCCTCTTTGTTGCGGTGCACAGGCTTCTCACTCTGGCGGCTTCTCTTGTTGAGGAGCTCAGACTCTACGCACATGGCCCTCAGTAGTTGTGGCTTGAAGTCCCTAGGGCTCGTGGGCTCAGCAGTTGTGGTGCATGGGCTTAGTTGCTCCACAGCATGTAGAATCTTCCTAGACTAGGGATCAAACCCATGTTTCCTGCATTGGCAGGCAGATTCTTTTTTTTTTTTTAAATATTTATTTGGCTGTGTCAGGCCTTAGTTGTGGCATGCAAGATCTTTGTCCTTTGTTGTGGCCTGTGGGATCTTTAGTTGAGGCATGTAAACTTTTAATTGTGGCACGTGGGATCTAGTTCCCTGACCGGGGATCGAACCCAGGCCCCCTGCATTGGGAGCACAGAGTCTTAGCCACTGGTCCACCAGGGAATGCCCAGCAGGGAGGTTCTTATCCACTGCACTGCCAGGGAAGTCCTGTGTTGGGTCTTAATTGCATTATGCAGGATCTTTCATTGCAGTGCAAGGACTCTTGAGTTGTGGCACAAGAGCTCAGGAGTTGTGGTCTACCAGGACTTAGTTGATCCTCAGCATGTGGAATCTTAGTTCTGAGACCAGGGATTGCACCTGAGTCATCTGCGTTGCAAGGCATATCCTTTTTTTTTAAAAAACAAAGTTGTTTATTTATTTATTTTTGGCTATGCAGGGTCTTCATTGCTGCAGACAGGCTTTCTCTAGTTGCAGTGTGTGGGCTTCTCTTTCAGTGTCTTTTCTTGATTTGGCTCAGAGACTCTAGAGCAGGAGGGCTCAGTAGTGTAGCTTGCAAGGTCTAGAGCTCAGGCTCATTAGTTGTGGCACAAGGGCCTACTTGCCCTGTGTCATGTGGAATCTTCCTGGACCAGGGATCGAACCCATGTGCGCATTTGCAAGGCAAATTTTTAACCACTGAACCACCAGGGATATCCAACAAGGCAGATTCTTAACCGTTGAACCATCAAGGAAACCTCCGGAATATAGTTTAGATTTTGTTTTGGTATAGTACAAGGTCAGATTTTTTTGAATGCCACAAATATATTTGAAACAAATATGAATTTCTGTTTTGTTTGATTGCATAAAGTTCTGTGTTTTAGATTGAGCTTTTGTATTGTTATTCAAATATTATACGACCTTATTTATTATAGTCTAATCTATTTCTTTGAAAAAAGTCTTAATATTTCCTAATGTGTTTATAGATTCTCCTTGTGTTTCTGTCAGTGTGGTTATTTTGTTTATAATTCATTTTGTGAAGTATATATTAATAGAAATTGATGTTTATTATTGGATTGTATGCTATAGAGTATATATTTTATAAATGCTAGTTTTCCATTTTTGTCCCACTTTATGCTGTTAGCTTTGATTTCTACTTGATCTGATATCAATATTATGTACCTTCTTCCTTACTGTATGCATTTATCTGTTGTTTTGGTTATTATTTTCCCAGTATGTCTTTTTCTGTCTCTATTTTTGTTCTGTCTGTGATAGTACATTTTCTATGTGTGTCCTGTGAAATAGTTTCATATTTAATTTTTTGATCCAAAACTAAATTTGCCCATAAAGAGACAGAGAAATTGTAATCTGTTTATATTTATTGTTATTACTTCTATCTTTACACTGAATAAACTCTTAAATGATAATTTAATGTGTATAGAATTTAGGACAGTATTTTCTTTAGCACTTTGAAATTATTCTTCCCTTTTTTCTTCTTTTTTTAATTCACCTCTGCTGTTGCTAAGTTAATTGTTAGTCTGGTTGTTACCCTTTTTAGTTAATCAGCCTTTCCTTTCTTTTTAGAGTTATTTTTTCTTCTTTGTTCAGTTTTTATTATATTGGTCTTGGAGCTGATTTATTTTTATTTATTTTGCTTAGAATGTGGTTTACTCCTTCATTTTAAGAATGCGTGTGTCTTAAATTCTAGAAAATTCTTGGACATTTTATCTTTTAAAATTCTACTCTTTGGCCTCTTAAAGTCCTATTACATGCATATTGGATTGTCTCATGCTATCTTTCATGTCTCTTAATTTTTCTCTCATGTTTTTATTTCTTTGCCTTTTTGTGCTATCTTTTTTAGGGGGGAGTGTGGTGGTGATTTTCAGCCTATTTTCCTATTTCCTTTCTTTTCATTTGAGGCCTACTCTATTATTGAAACTGCCTTTGAGATTTTTTAATTTCAGTTGCTATGTTTTTCTTTTCTAGACTTTCTCTTTTTTTGGCTTTTTTGTTTTAGATTTTATTAAGATACAGATGGCATATAACAGTGTATTAATTTTCAGTGTACAATATGATTTCATATGAATATATATTGTGAAATGATTACCATAATAGGTCTAGTTAACATCCATCACGTCATGTAGTTGCAGATTCTTTTTTTCTTGTGATGAGAGTTTTGTAGACTTTCTATTTGTTTTTCTTAAATGCACTTCTCTTTTGTTTCAAATATCCTGTTCCTGCTTTTCTTTGAACATCAGATTTTGTGTAATTTTAATTGAATTTATTTTAAAAATCACATAGTATAAACTTAAAAGGTATAAAATGTTA